TGTGTGTGTGTGTGTGTGACCGCGTGCACCTGCATGTACAGTGTGGGTTTTTGTTAAGATTTGTGTTATGGATTTCTTGAAGCCTAAAACAGGTCCCTTTTACCATGCTGAAGATATACTGACACTCCCTAAGGTTTATTTAAAATGAAGCCTGCATGTGTTGTATTTAACGCCAGAGGGGTTGAGTTAAGCAGAAAGCAGAATGATTTTATATTCATGTGAATGTAGAGTTCATACATCAAAGTTTAAAACCTTGACTGTGCGTCTGTGCTGCTCCTGACGTTATGTGCCTTGAGCCTGCAGATAGGAACATACCATCCATCGTACTCTGGGGCTATTAATTCATGATCTCTTGACCCGTATCATCTTGTGAGCAAACCCATTCTTCCAAAATGATGTATGTAGGGCAGAAAGAGCGCCAACAGAGTATAAAAGCTGTTGGAAAATGATTCCAGTCAGTGACGATGCCACATTTACAGAACAGCTTCATTGCTTCTAGTGTGGAATAGTGATCTTGATAGTGGTACTCGTACTAAATGCTAACATGCTCACAATGGCAATGTTAACATGCCAATTCTACCGAGTAGAAAGTTTCACTCAAAACCACAAATATCATCCTCATGAAAGAAAGCTCAGGGAATTACCAAAATCTGTAGGATTTATCCTCTGTGGTAGGCTTTTCTTTTACTACTTAAATAATTAATTGAAGGACTTAATAATTGAAAATAAAAACCATTAGTTGTGGCCCAATTGTAGACATTTGATAGAAGATAAAGATTATTTAAGTATAAACAATGTTTGAACCAGCGCACTGAACTAATATTTATTTATTTTTTTAATTTTGCCTAATTTGCCCATCAGGACCAGGTCTGTAGTGCAGCTTTATACAGTCACACGTCATGACAAAAAAACATGACAAAACACACACACACACACACACACACCTTCTGTGCCCATACAGTACTGGTAGAGACTGTATTTTATTCGTTATCTGCCACTGGCTCAGCCGTGACAGGGTAAAACTGTGCTGCCAGTTGAGCGTTCAGTTGGTGGACAGCTCTCTTCATGTCTTCCTTTACCCAGAGCTCTGTGGAGAAAGTCAACAAAGAGTCGTCAGGTGTAATGTGGCAGGAAAGTTCTGTGTCAACATCAGGGTGTTAGAGCCAACACGCATCACAGCCACAGGTACCAGAGAGGAAAGTCAGTGTGTGTGCGTGTTGACTTGTGTGGTGTCTGTTGAGCATCCACTGTTGCCTGCATATGTTAATAATGCATAATAATGCACCTTGTGGGTGGATGTGGCCAACTCATTTGCACACACAGTAATATGCATATTAAGCAGCACTTTCTCAAGTTGTTTGCATAAGTTCTATTTAGCCTTTGTTTATCCGAACAGAGAAAACAAGAACATAAGACATTATTATTTCCATTCGAGGGCTGAATTAAATCAACTCAGTCAGTGCTGTGGTCTGCGGCATATGACCTTAACCTCATTTGTGAAGCAGCCAACACAATCCATTTTACAGCCTCTCTAACTCAGTAGTCTCTGTCTAATTATGTAATAGGATCAAATTGTGGCTTGGGGTATAATAGAATATATTACAGAAGACTCTGAAACTCCTCCAGGATTGTTGCTGCAAGCTGTTCTGCTCTGACCCCTCTGTTAAAATGCATACGCCATAGTGTGTTTCTAGGGAGAGCATGTGAAGCAATTTGTTTGTAATTACTCAACACTGTAGTTTAGCGATTCCCAGTTGCTTGATAAACATCTTAATAGTCCTCCCAAAAACAATTTCACATTTTTGCTTTTCACTGGTTTTGACGGCATGCTTATGTAACTGTAGCCACAGTGTGGTGTTGCTCTCTGTGAGGTGTTAGAAAGCATTAACACATTTTTACCCACTGGTGTAAAGTTGTTACAGATAGCGAGGTAGATGTAATGTATGTGACAACTTTCTCTTTTTGTAATAGCTCTTCCCCATCCACACCTCTTATGGCACTCCTAACTATCATGAATTGGGGGGTCTCTCTTTTGATTGCCTTTCCCAAGGATTTGTATGAAGAAATTATTTTTCAACCTTTTCTGGCCTGTATATCCCAACTATAAATGACCCTGGGAATTAAGGAGTTGTCAAGTTGTCAGCATGGAGGGAGCTCCAAATAGATTATACTGAAATGGTTATATATGTGTATGTATATCAATGTTGGTATATCAATGTTGTTGGTTATTCTCAGAAATTGTCTCTACTTATCAAGCAACCCCATATGTCATTTGTTTTTCCTGTAAAGCCCTTGTAAAGCTTGAGCAAAAGTATTACATATTGAATGATGTATAGTATGTAGTGATCTGCCCGGGCAGGCCCATTGCACTTAAGGGAGGACACTGATGAGCTCATGTTTGTAATGAAATGGAGCATTTCTGAACTGGAAGACAATCATGAGAACACTGAGAGCATCATGCTGTGTAGAGTACATTAAAAGAAAAGCTGATTTGTGCCAGGTCTTTGAACAAGAAGGAAATGCAGAAAAGTTTTAAATTATAGGAGCTAAAAAAGGTAATCGGCATAATATAGTTGTACACATAAATTAATAATCTGCACATACATTAATGAACATCGAATATGGTATAGTGTTGTCACTGATGTGCCAGATGTGCCAGATCCAGTATCTGTGAAATCCTCACTCAAAACAGCATCTAGTGATGATAAGAATAGAGCCAGAGCCATACTGGAGTTTTGAGGCTAATAACCAATGTATTGCCAGATTTTTTTTTTAATGTGAACACATAACATATTTTTATTTGGATAGCTTACATTTGTTTGTTAAGAAAACTTGAACCAAGGTATGTACTGAGCGAGACAATTTATAGTATATAACAATAAATGTATCCTACTTAGGATGCTGATGCAGGAGGTTTGTTCTACCTGGTGTCTACACTGTTGCATTTTAACCAAACAGTTTTGTTTCTACATGACTGGTAAAAGCAGGAGAATGTCGTCTTTTTATCTTCTGTTGTGAGATTCTCAAGATCTCCTGAGTTATACGTTTTTTCTTCTTAAATACACACCATTGTTTATACAAAACAGTGTGATTTCCACACTAGATTATGTGGTACATAGCAAATTATAGCCATTTGGATAATGTCACTCACAATATTGAAATCACTCTCGGCTCAGACTATTGTTCAGTAAGAATCACTTAAGAGAAAACAACTTGAAGCTCTCAAGGTAAATTTGCCTTCAGTAAAATAATACTGATTTCTTTTTTGTTTAGAGAGCTAAAGAGGAAAAACAATGCTTTTATTGAAGCTTGTGGGTACTGGTTTAGATCATAAGGAGTAGGCCTACAATAGACCTTACAGGAGGATTACATATAGATTTTATAGACAGTTTATGGACTATAAAAACGATAGAAAAGAGCAGACTAGCTGCAAACTACTGTGTGGGGAAAAAAAATACAGAAAGATATCTGCAAACAAAAGTATGAACTTTATATGCAGTGTTATTTTGTTTGAAAACTAAATAACTCAATGCAACATGAAAATAACAACTAATGACAGATGCAAATAAAACACAACAGGAAAAAGTAGATGAATGCAATAAAAGTCGTCCTCCTTTGCGTGAATTCCACTGTAGGTTGTGTGGTTGAGATAAACAGAATTTAAAAAAAACAAACAAACAGCAAAACCCAAAGTGTGATAAAAGTTTGGAAATGCCTGATTCAAATTGCTTTTTGTACTTTAGTTCTGTATTTTAAGGCACTGACAGTGTTTGGACTGATTCTGTTTAACATCTCACCTCTGAAGTCACCACAGACATGATTCACTCTGTTCCTCATTTTCTCTTTAATTCATAAAATAATTTGAAAACGCACGAACAAAACGCACAAAACATTTAGAAGCTGCTTGTCAGACGTTTGGAGCTGAAGTGAGTTACATGTGAGCTGCGGGAACAATTCATCCAATACAAAAATAGCAGAAAATTGTTTTTAAATCTTTTTTTAATTTTTATATGGTGAAATAAAATAAGCGGTTACATAACATTTATTTGTATGCAAACTCTTAAAGGTCATATAGAGATTAGATATGCCCAAAGGGATGAAATTACTCATTAATTAGCCCTCACATATTGCCAAATACCTGCTCTGACATTTGAAATGAAGACAATTGAAACACTTCCTGCTAACTTTATGATTCCCAATAAATGTTATACTTTGTTTCCTGTTTCTCTATTGTTCCTTTATGAAATCGTGTCTCATATCAGTGTTTTTATCTTTGTAAACATGAGATCGATGAATCTATTGTCAGCTTATGAATCATGTTTGAAGCTATTCTAAAATACCGAACACACAGAGACAAACGAGCTCAGAATAAATATGGTATTCTCTATCTAAATACAGTGTTAGTGTGTCTCAAGCCACACTTGTACATGTATGTTGCCTAGCAACAATATGCATTTTCCATTCAAGAAATATACTTCACTGAGGATAATTTATATCCATTAAAAATGAATCACTGAACATTTATGTTTTCCACTGCTATTTTAAGAATGTGACCACCAGATGATTCACATTCCTGTTACTGTTGTAAGATGACTGGAATATTTTTTTATGTAAAAACATGTAATACCTCTCTCTCTCTGTGTGTCCCTCTGACTTAATGTCTCTCTGCATTGGCTCCACAGCAAATCCCCAACGCCCATAAGGACTGGGTGTGTGCTCTGGCGTATGTCCCGGGTCGACCCATGCTGCTGAGCGCCTGTCGGGGCGGCATGCTGAAGGTGTGGAACGTAGACAACTTCACCCCCATAGGAGAGGTCAGAGGTCATGACAGCCCCATTAACGCCATATGTACCAACTCAAGACAGATCTTCACTGCGTCCAGGTAAAAAAAAAATTGTATACATTTTTCACATTGTTGTGTTGTAAAATCCATCAAACGGCATTCATTTGTTATTTGTTCTCTATCTGACCAGCATTCTGTTGATGTAGTGAAGAATTAATGAGCAAAAAAACTAATTTCATTAGAAGATTATTACATCTTTTGAGAGTTAAAGAAAGACCTTTTATGTTGTAATTAATGCCATTTATTTATTATAATTGATTCACAGCAAATTACTGTTATAAAAGCGTTTGTAGATTAGAGTCCCATTAGCTTAAACATAAGCATTAAAGAACAAGTAGGCTGATATTCTACATTTCTTTCTGTCAATTCAACAATTCAACATGAACTTAACGTGTAAACATGTATTGCCTGCCTGATATACCATATTTGTCAAAAATACACTGGTGATGATCATGTTGCACCGGCTGACATGTTCCTTCATTATCATAAACATGGACACTCTAATTTATTCATCAATCCCAAATACAAGTCTGCTGTTATTAATATTAATTAGGGCAACTTCTGTTGGGTAGTGTTTGGTTAAAACTTCAGTGACCAGCTGTTTTAGGAAATTACCCTATACATTTTATGACCATTTTTAAAGATTTAAATATTCAGTAGAAACAAATAGGCTCTGAGCTGAGTGCCATAGACAGGGTAGGGAAGAAAATGAGAAAGTATTGAGAGGTGAGCTGTCAACACTTTGTTACTTTTTGTCTTTTCTTGTAATTTGACAAAAACAAAAGTATGGAATGAATCCAGCTTTATCTGAAGAGTGCTTAGAGGTTGAGAACCAGAGAACATGTTTATATATTAGTTTTTCAAACTGGTACAGAGAGAAAGAGAGAGAAATGTCTGGCCGTTACCAAATATGTTAGTTTTTTCGGAGGGAAATACAGGATCATGATTAATGCTTCATCTCTAACAATAATCTGCAGGTGTCTGTCAGCCTTGTGTGGCTCAGAGAGGGTCATACCTACATCCTGTTTTTCTAAGCTCACAGGGATAATGCTTGTTTGTGTGTGTCTGAGTGGGACATGCTACAGTCTGAGTGTTCATTTTCACTTCTCATTTATCTGGTGGGCTTTCACTGAACTCTACTCCCTCTTTTTTCTGTTTTCACCACTTCTCACCTTCTTGTTTCATCACTTCTTAAATTTTCATCATCGCCGGCTGTTTTCCTGTTTTCTGTCGTCTTTTCTCTGGACAAATATTCGGTCTCTTAAACTGTGCCTTCCCACTCCTCCTCTCCTCCTCTCCTCCTCTCCTCCTGTTCTTAACCCTCACCTTCCTCCTCCTCCTCCTC